TCTCTCTCTGTCTCTCCCTCTGTCTGCAGCTCTACCTCTCAAATAAATAAATAAAATCTTTAAAACAAAAAAAGTATAAATTTAAGTTTTCATATAAGCTTAGAGTATTTTTACCAAAAATTCTAAAAGCTTTAATGTTTCTTCCTATTCATAAAAGTAAACATCAATGATTTTATAGAAATACAACATAGGTAATTGCAAAAAAAACTCTGATTTTCATAGAGAAATTTCTAAAATAAAGCTCATACTTCTGTGCCTTTTTCGTACTTGAAGCACTTTGGTTGGTCCAGCGCTGTGGTGTAGTAGGTTAAGCCTCCACCTGTAGCAATGGCATCCTATGTGGGTGCTGGTTCATTTCCTGGCTGCTCCTCTTCTGATCCAACTCTCTGCTTATGGCCTGGGGATGCCCTAGAAGATGCCCAAGTGCGTGGGCCCTGGCACTCATGTGGGAAACCCAGAAGAAGCTCCTGGCTTGGGGCTTCAGATCAGCCTCGCTCTGGCTGTTGCAGCCTTTTGCGGAGTGAACCAGCAGATGGAAAACTCTTGTTTTTCCCTGTCTTTGTAATTCTAACTCTCAAATACATAAAATATATCTTAAAAAAAAAAAAAGCACCATGGTCAGCTCAGGTGGCCTATGAGTGAGACAAAACTTACTACAACAGGGGTGGTCATTTGGTGTAAAGGTTACGATACTGCTAGGAATGCTCACCCCCATACTGGAATGTCTGCATTTGACTCCTGGCTGGGTTTCTAACTCCAGGTTCCTGCCCAAGGAGGAAGCAGTGATGGTTCACACAGGACCCTGCTACCTACATGGGAGACCTGGATTGAGTCTGCAGCTCCAGGCTTCATCCTGAGCTGTTGCAGGTATTTAAGGAGTGAACCCACGAATGGGAGATCATGGGAGATCTTTGTCTGTACTTCTGTACCTCTACCTTTTAAATTAAATAAGTATTTTTTTAAAAAAAAATTCTTCTAACAAGATCAACTTAATACTAATAGCAAAGGGAAAATATGAAGACATTCATTTCATGAAAATATATATAAACATTTAGATATGAATAAAAAAACTAAAAGCCAAAAATGGAAAAAAAAATTGATCCAAGCAGAGACAAAAATAGGGAGAGGGATGTGACAAAGTGGGTTAAGTTGCTGCTTGAGACACCTGCATCCAATATCTGATTGTTGCTGGAGCTTTGCCTTCTCTGCTTCTTCTTCTTCAGAATACATTTAAGTTATATTTCTCGATCGGACAGATAGAGTTAGTGAGAGAGAGAAACAGAGAGGAAGTCTTCCCTCCGTTGGTTCACCTCCCAAATGGCCGCTACGGCCGGAACTATGGCAATCCAAAGCCAGGAGCCAGGTGCTTCCTTCTGGTCTCCCATGTGGGTGCAGGCGCCCAAGCACTTGGGCCATCCTCCACTGCACTCCTGGGCCACAGCAGAGAGCTGGACTGGAAGAGGAGCAGCCGGAACTAGAACCCGGCGCCCATAGGGATTCCCGCGCCACAGTTGGAGGATTAGCCAAGTGAGCCACGGCGCCAGCCCCTCTTCTCTGCTTCTGATCCAGCTTCTTGCTAATGTGCCTGGAGAGGCAGCAGAAGGTGGCCCAAAATCCTGGGCAACTGGCACTTCTATGAGAGACCAGGATGTAATTCTGGCCCAGACCTGATTATTGTAGCCGTCTGGAGAATAAACCAGCGGATGACGCAAGATGAAAGATCTATCTTTCTCTCTCTCTCTCTCTCTCTCTCTCTCTGCCCTCCCTTTCTCTCCCTGTCTCTCTCCTTCTTTCTCTCCTACCAACCCTACCTTCCTCGTGCTGCTTTGCCTTTCAGATAAATAAGTGAGAAAGAAAGAGATGGAGAGGAGAGAGAGAGAAAGAGAGAATTACCAATTCTAATGAGGAGAACATGTTGAAATTTTAGTTTTTGTGATTCTTTCACTTCCTTCCTTACTTCGAAGCATACTTCATTTCTAAAACCAGTAAAAAAAAAATGTATCCGAAAGCCTAGTATTCTGGAAGCAACAATATAATATCTGCTTACGATATTCTGCCTACTCCAGAAAACGTTTCTATTATTTATCATCATAGCTTTGAGCAATTTTAAATCAATATTTTTGTTGGATGAATTTTCCATACTTCATTCTTGATACCATTTTCTATAGTATTTAACGATGATTGTCAAGTTTTTACTCTTAGTATCAGACATCTATCTATAAATGTATTTTTTTAATTATTTATTGATTTGCGAGACAGAGAGGGAAAGAGAGAGAAAGGTCTTCCAAGTGCTTTTTCATTCCCCAAATGGTTGCAATGGCTGGAGCAAGGCTGATCCAAAGCCAGGAGCCAGGAGCTTCTTCTAGGTCTCCCACATGGGTGCAGGTGCTCAAGCCATTGAGTCATCCTCCACTGCTTTCCCAGGTTATAAGCAGAGACCTGGATTTGAAGAGGAGCAGCCGGGACACCAACCGGCACCCATAAGGGATGCCGGTACACAGGCAGAGGCGTAACCTACTACACCACAGCACTAGCCCCTGTATAATTGTATTTATTAGAATACTTGCTCTATGAATGCCATGTTAAGTGCACTAATAAAAAATCAACTTTTAAAAGCTAATACTTAAAAAAAAGCCGATATTTACAATTTCTTAAATGGTTTACAATTAATAAATAAACATGTCATGCAGCAAGATAGTCAACTTCAAGTTTCATTCTATCATCTAAACTCAAATAGGAATATTCCATTTTCCAGTTATATATTCATATAGAAAAATCAATTTTCATTCAAGCCATGTATGCTATATCTCTATATTTCACCACATATTTATACATTATTATAGGATATTCTTTCAAATAAGCAGACCTTTAGAACTACAAAATTAAAGTACCTTGCTTTTTGCCTTTAACAAATACGACAACTGGGTTTTGTATTCTAAATGCCCAATAAAATTGGTAATTTCCTCCGATATAAAATGTGGACTTAAAAAAAATCAAATTTGCCTAAAATCACAGAGAAGTGACTCAAGGCTCTTTTTAGAATATATCTGTATCCCTGTTTGTGCATATCTATGTATGATTTCAATAAACCTTTATTTATTATATAAGGTAATTTTCACAGTTCTCTAAAGTTTTGTAGATAACAATCTTTAACGATCACAAATCACAGGGTTGGGTATTTGGCTGTTGACTAGAACATGGCTAAACAGTCTGTTGCTAAAGATTGCCTACTTCGGCACAACTGATGTGGAGGAACCGAAAACGCAGTTGAAACGGTGCAATAGAAACTTGAAGTCAGGAAATTGAGGAAGTGAAGGAATCAAGAAAAACAATTAAAAAAAATACTCATCCCCAATCTGCTCCAAAAACATTAATTGCCTCTCTCAGGTTTTTTAGTCTACCTGCCTTATCAATTATTTATCCTTCTAAACTCACAGAGCATACAAAAGGTGGCAGAAAAGGTAATATTCCAGAAACACTCAAACGCTCTGGTATCAAATGAAGAAGTCATGGGTGAAAAAGAACTTGAAACAGAAAAAGCAGGCAGGAGGACAACAGGGATGCAGATGGAGGCACCCAGGTGCTGCACACTCTCAACCCGTAACATGACGTGAACAATTCCTAGGACAGTTCATATCCTGCCTTAGGACCAGAGGCTTGAGGCTGGAGGAGCGCTGGCATGTGAAGGAAGTGGGAGTGTGTGCAGTGACAAAAGGCAGCTCCCTCTCTATTTATGTGAAGCACACTCCTTGGGTTGTGTCCCTCTTGAAGGACACAGGGACAATTTCTCTTCTTTCCAAACTCGCTTATAATAAGCTTGCATCCTCCCTGCAGGAAGGAGTCTTTGTTTCTCCGTGTGCAGGGCACCCCCTCTTCTGTATTCCAGCCCTTCTCTTAGCTGCAGGGCACGACCACAGATGGGAATGGGAACAGCTTTTGTAATTAACTGTGCACCTGTAAGGGGTATCTCTCAGCTCCGCTGGAGAATACCTGAGAAGCACAGACAGGCTTCAGAGGATCTGCAGGAAATGAGGGCAGTGCAGCCAAGCAGACCTTAGCAACAGTACTTTTTCTGGGAGAGGCCTTGGTGGTCTCTGGCCCAGAGGTCAAAGCACCAGGCAGTCTGAACTCCTTTTCCTAGCTGCGTCTTTGGTAAAAGTTAGTTACTTTCTGATGGACCTTCTGTATGCAAACAGAGCTCCAAATTCACGCAGAAATCGCAAAATCTGATCAGTGATAAGGTGAAATGTCAAATGCGGTAATGCCTTGGGCAAAAAGCTAACATCACTTATTGTGTGTTCGTGAATCTTCAAAGGCTGAAATATTTCTTGACAATGATGGGTCTACTGAGCTGTTTGCACACGGGACTATGTGTGTGTCTCTCTTTCAAGGATTCTGATGCTATAAAATGCATCATATTATCTGATGCTCTTCATACCATGCACGTTTAGGTTTTTCTCATTTTCCCCCCTCTCTTGGCAACTAAACAACAAGCATTGTCATTAATACATAATCATACTGTGTGTGGGTTTAAAAAAGAACACTGCGTTTCTGTATTAACCTCTCACCCGGGACTTTACATTCTCAGTGATTTAATTCTCTGCTAACTTCCTTATTAAGCATATACTGTGTCACACCACCTTAAAATTTAAAAGTCATTTAGTTATTTCAGTGTGACAGATGTGCATTCTTCTGGGATTCTAAACCCCCCTTCTCCAACTGCAGCTTTGTTGTTTTGCATAATCACCAGGAATGATTAACCAACACTGAACCTGAGCGAAGAGGAAAGACAAACAAGTGTCTACCCACCACTGACTCCAGCACACGGACAGCACACAGCAGCAACTCTCTGTCACGGTGGCCTTCTCAGCGTTAAGTCCCTGCACTGATGCACATCAGTAATTCCCTTCATAATACATAACACCACCCATAGAGAATTGTGTCTTCCCCGCATTTTCCCTTCAAAGTAAATGAGTGATTTAAAAATTAAACCTTCCTACCCGTAACAGGGACTGGGATTCATCCTTGGACTTGTTTTCTCCAGATGCAGGATACTGCTGGGTGAGGGCCCCCGACTTCTCTCCGCCAGCTGGCACCCCCTGCAGGAATCCCTTGGTCTCCACAGCCAAGCCATAAATAGGTCGCGCCAGATGGGCAGCTTCCACATTGGGGCTATCCCTCAGAGTCTTTGTCTGCTCTTGGGTGCCAGACACGGGCGTCAGAAGCCCCAGGCTTGCTTGCGTGTATGACGGACTGCCTCGCAGGATGTCTGCCCCTCTCCAAGTCACACTGCGGAGGTCATCACTTGAACTCTCAGTCCAAACTTTCTCTTTGAGCCCTTCCTTCTCATCCAGTTTCTCCCTCTTCACTATACTCTCGGAAACTGGCTCTCCCATTTTAGAGTCTGGGTTTAGCAGACTGTAGACCTTGAGGTCAATTTTGGGCTCCTCCTTGATGGTGGACACGACATGCCCATCCTCTTCGCCGTTGGCTGTAGTGATGTCCTGTTCCTGGCAGTGAACAGTGTTGAAGTGCTCCAGTAGTGACTGAGTATCCGCAGCTGTGAAGCTGCACTGACGGCATTTGTAGCAGCTGTGTGCTCTCCTGGAGAAGAAGAAAACAGGCATTGGAAATCCAGCGCTTGGAAGACTTGCCTTTTGTTGCTGTTCTTAATTAGTCTTTAAGCGCCTGAATTTTATCTCATGCAATGTAGTATAGGTAGAACGAAATATAATATTGTTAATAACCAGAAGTTGGAATGTAATTAACTGACATTTTCCATTCTATGTAAGAATATAAAGCTCCTTTTGTTACAGTAGTAGGAACACGCACACACACACATATAGATACACGCTTGTGTGCACACACTCCAGCTGATCAGCAAACTGGTTGGCATCATCATTGGATGATCTGCTCCATTTAATTTTATGTTGGTGGCTCATTATCAATTCTGTATTAGTTAACTTGATATTCATGTTTTTACACCTGATTCCACCAAGGCACTTCTCACTTTCAGTTTATCTAAACCAAATTGAGGGGTTTCTTTGTTATTAATACAGTTACATTTCTAATGCTGAAATGCTCTGTACAGCTTTTCCATATATTAAAATAAACTATCAAATTAATCACAATGTTATTTTGTACATCAGGTTTAAATCTGTTTAATCAGTAAAAGATGACTAATCTACACAATCTAGAAAAGAAAATGTATTAAAAACCCAATGGTTTTCTAAATAAATCCTGTATCTATAAGTACTTATAGGCATTGAACAAACTGAATATCTGTTGAATATCAAACATCAAGACAGCTGCTTGGATATGGATATGGTCATTCACAAGGTGTGAGTGCATGGTACTGTACATATGAAACCAGGAGAACACACTGTCAAAATATTAACTTTGCCAGATACCTGGTACACATTGGTAACTGAAAGATACACAGACTTAGCCCACCTGGTGAGTAGAGTCTAGTCAGGAATGGCAAGCTACTCATAACATTATGAATGAATGTATTAAAGAGCTCCATGTACTAAGAAGAAAATTCACAGATGGTCATGGGGGTAAGGAGGGCTCTGAGGGAATCAGGAAGAACTTTCTGAGGGAGATACATGAAACCAAAGAATGTAAAGGAATTATGTGTGCTGGAGGAGGAAGCAGAAAGAAGGAAGTACATTCTGGCAAGTCTGAGATACTGAAGAGAGACCGCTGTGGCTAAAGAGGAAGAATGTCAATCAACAAGCTAGAAGGGCCATTCAAATTTTGTGGGCCTTTTGGAACTAGAGTGGAAATCTTCAAAGGTTAAGGGAAGCCATCAGCAGGGGTGGATCATGGTCAAACCCATGCTTTAATGACATTAGATCTGTGATAGTTTCGGTATTAACTTCATTCCCTTAGGAGACATGTCTGATAGTTCAAATTCCAAAAGATGTTTCTATGTTACAGAAGCAAAATTCAAAAGCAACAGAAATCACAACAAGTATTTGTACAGAATACTTTTAATGAATACTGTGGATATTTAGTTTAACTTTTCATAGATTGCTTTCCATATTCTATTTTTCTTCATTATTTAAGATACAAATGATAAGCAATTTGTTGACTGGCCAAAAAATACAATATTCAAACTAATTTTCTCAAAGTAAGTAGTTTAATCCCTAAGGCAGGCATGTCTATGAACAAGAGTAGGAATCTTGCCACCAATGTCAAGACCAGAAACATCAAAGGCAGGATTGAGGGTGCCAAGGACAGTAGACATGACCCAAATACAAGAAGCCAGGAATCCAAAATAGTTCCAAAAAAGACAAGAATACATTTATCATAGCAGTTAACATCAAAGTATAACTCAGGAAAAACCCTAATAAAGATACTCTGCATAATCTATTGAGTCATGTAAATTCAAAACAACAAACCAATTTCAGAACACATATTAGCAAGTTTTGATGAACTTTCACCTTCAGACAGGCCTAATGAACTCATTGCCCTCCTTGGCACAGTTTGTGGGTCCTCCTCATGTGAGAATGCTGCTTGGAATATCCAAGGGGGAACAAATTAACACTATTGCCATTGTCTCCTCTAAAACTGGTGGCTCTCATGTAAAACTCCCAAAGACTGATGGCCATACTAGTTCAAGAAATAAAGACTGTAAATATTAGGGCAATGAGAAACAGGAAGTATGAACACAGAAGAGGAGAAACACAAAACTCTAGAACAACACATGGGAAAATTATTTATAAAAGCCAGACATCAGCCCCTTCTGAAGACACAATTTAGCCCATATAAGAGTATAGTCTCAAGCCAGACTCTATGAGTTTCCAGATCGTCTCTGTATTTAAAAATGTATGTGCCTCCTCAAATTACTGCATTAACTCAGTTTCTTTATCTACAAAACGAAAGCAATAATGTGTTTTGAAATGGTTTTTGTGAATAGCAAGTAAATAACACTAATAGTAGGCATGTAAATAAAGAGTTAACCTGTACAAATTCTAAAATTAAACAAAGTCCCTCTGTTCCATAGAAACCTGCTCTTTCGGCAAGAGGGTTCAAACTCTTGGTATCAACACTTAAATTTTTTGTATCGTTCTTTTCCATTCCCCCGTGGGCGTCAATCGTGACAAATATCATTCTTAAAACCAAGCTATTTTCTAGAAGATTCTGTTCTTGAGGCTATTGCAAACAGAATACATTCCGTGCCTTCACCGTGTCACCTCATGGTATCCAACAAGCTGACAAACCAAGCAGTGGAGCAGTTTACTGCTTAGTTGTCGAGCTCTACTGTCTTCTCCCTGACAGTGGTCAGATCCAGACTCTTAAGAAACTGAGGGACAAAAATAATAACAGCATTACATGTGTTTTATTATAAAGCCTAGGGAGGTGGGGGGTGTCTCCTGAGTGTTATTTAGTAAAAGCAGTTTTGAAAATATCTAGTAACATGTCTAAGTAGTTATGATTAGGTAACTTCTATGTAAACTCATTCTGCAATCTAGAAGTCGTCTTGAGCCACTTCCCTTCACCAACTAAAGAGGAATGGGTCCAACCTTTACCCATTACTCATACTTCTTCCAAAGTATACTAAATCCTCCATTCTTATCAAGAAATTAGTTCAGAACAAAGTATCACCTCCTAAGACAGCTATCAGGAATGTCTAGGCTTTCTAACTTGATGTTACTGTTCTGGTGGACAACTCCCTGACTCCTTGCTGACAGGTCTCAGCAAGAGCTGCTCAGATCTGTCCCACAGAGGAGCTCTTGATCCCATGTTCCCAGGCAAGCGCATCTGTAACGTAGGTGCTGGAAAATCATCGAAATACAGAAAACAGGGAGGTGAGTATCAAGCAAAAAGGAGACAGAAATTGCAGAGGTAAGTTTTCAGCAAGAACTCAGTTTCACATTGAAAAGAAAAACACAATTTAACAGGAAGGATATTAAAAGGGGGTTGTGAAAACAACTTCAATTCAATCACCTTTTAAAAAAAATTTTTTGAGAATTCAAAGCCCAAACACCTATGTGATCTCATATGCTACTGAAGTCTAAGGCCCCACTTTACAGAAGGCGAAATGGAAAATAGCACCTAGTCCATCTAATTTATATCACATCAAGAAGACAGTACTTATAAATTCCAGATCAGATCTTTGCTCTGTTTTTCTTTCCTCTGTGGCCTAAATTTTTAACTTCATGCAAAAATAAGTGAAATTCCCCATAACAGCAATGGTTTGCAAAACAGGTTGTGCAGCATTGCAATGTGAGGAGTTTCTTAGCAATATAGATTCCAAAGCCTCCTTGTCTTTCTGAATCAGAATGTTCTGGGCATCACCCAAGATGCTAAATTTTTAACAAGGTCCTCAAGTGACAGCAACGCAGGAACCTGCATCTATCTTTAAACCACAATACTAGATATGTCATGATTCTAAACAATGAATAGCTCCCAAGACACCTCCTCCTACCTCCCTAGATTTTAGTGAAACACAGGTAAAGCCATTATTATCTTTGTCAATCAGAATTTCAAGATTCTGGATAGGACTACTATTAATGAAAAGGCTGAAATTGGACAGTTAAGGGGTAAACTGCTAACTGCCCGATCGTTCGAGCCATCGGACGCCACTAGGTGAGCCAGAAAAGGCAGTCTGCCTGGAGAACTCCTTGCTCCTTACAAATATCAGTTCTAAAATAAATGGCAGACAACATTATTTCTCTATAAAGTATATTAACACAAAGAACAGTGCTTTTCAAACTAAACACACAGAGGAGTCACCTGAGGGTCTTGTTAAAATTCTTATTCTGAATTCAAAAGTCTGGCATGAGAGCTGATATTCTGCATTTCTTGTAAGAACCAGATAATGTTGATGTTGTTCCTCCTTAGATCACGCCTTGAGTAGAAAGAATAATTCAGCCATGGCCAGAAATAACTTCAACATTGGTATGTGTTAGCCTGCAATGAGCTATCAGTATTATATATACTCAGCACTTTACAGAACCTTCTCAAATGAATTTTTTATGATGGGCAACATCATTTCCCTCTTCAAGCACATACAAATATCACCCACTTCTGAGAGTCTATATTATCAGCTTGACAAATTATAACTACAAATATGAAATTGTCAAAGTAATCCCAAACCAATTCGCTTTTTTTATTTTATTGTTTGGGGATTCTCTCTCAATATTCTTTCAGGCTAAGCCATTTATATGAGTTAGCCACAATGATCACACACAATCTGCATTCTCATCCTCATCTTGAAGCTGAAGAAGCTAAAGCAAGAGGTCAATTCACACAAAAATACGATTGAGGGCAAGACAGAGTATTCTTGCTGGTGCCCACAGTTATGGTTTCACATATTTTGCTAGTTAACGTGACATTACTAGCTTGTTCTAGATGACTCCTAAACACTTGAGAATGTTTTCTGATACGCATCCTTCCCTCAGTAACTGACAAGAACTTTACCAAAATGCCATTCTGCCTCCAAAGAGTAAGAGGAGCGTAGAAGGGCTTCTCAAGAATAAAAGTTCAGTCATTGTGAAACTCCCATGGTGGAGGCTCTCCTCTAACCTACTGACTGCACTTTGTCAGCATTAACACGAAGGCCTCAAAAACATTCATCGACTATTTCCTCCACT